TCCCTTCCCTTCCCTTCCCTTCCCTTCCCTTCCCTTCCCTTCCCTTTTTCCTTTCCTTTCCTTTTTTCTTTCCTTTTTTCTTTCCTTCCCTTTCCCTTTCCCTTTTTCCCTTTCCCTTTCCCTTTTTCCCTTTCCCTCTCCTCCCCTCTCCTGGGACCTTCCAGGAGCTGCTGCCAACTGGGAAGGGGGAGGTTTTGTGGTGGTTTTTTTCCCAAGCCAAGCAGCTCCACGGTCTCCACCTCCCAGAAACATCCCTGGCTATGGAAAGAGCAATTCCTTTTCCAAGACATGAGGCAAAAATAGTTCTGCCTGCAGAAAGGCCAAAGGAGTTTCCCCAGCCCTTCCCAGAGCCCCTGGAGCAGCTGGCTGGGAATGAGGGAACACTGCAGGCTCCAAAATTCCCTTTCCCAGCCTGGAAACGGCACTTTTGGCTGCACATTCCAAGGAAAAGAAACGGGGTCTGAGGCAGGAGATGTGTCTTTGTCAGAGCCCAGCAGGGCTCACAGCACCCCTGGAGCATCCCCTGATCCCAGTGTGGGTAAGGATGTCCCTGGGGTGTCCCTGGGGTGTCCCTGTTTCCCTGGAAAGCCAGAGCAGAGGGAAGGGCCCTCACCTGGGTTGGGCTGCAGGTACTCGATGGTCCTGGTGAGCACCTCTGTGACGGCTTTGCTGGTCAGATCCACCTTCTGTGGGGGACATGAGATGAGGGGGGGTCAGCTCGGGGCTCCAGGGACATCCCAGAAGGGTTATCCAGGGATTTGAGGGGTTCCCTCCTCACCTTTTCCATCTCTTTGAAGTCATCGTCGAGCTTGGTCCCCTCGGCCCCTCCGACCTTCTCGCTGACCAGCTGTGGGAACAGAGCACAGGGGAGGATCTTAACCCCTCACATCCCATGGGATAATTCCCAGGGGGGAGGATCTTAACCCCTCACATCCCATGGGATAATTCCCTGGGACACACACAGGGAAGAGGGATGGGCCAGACAGAGCCTGGGAGAGGAAGGAACATCCTGGAACATCCCGGCCTCAGAAAACCCCCCCACGGCTCCCAGTGGGAAGGAGGGCTGGGATTGCACCCCCAGCATTCCCAGGACACACTCAGAGCTCCCTTGAGCCAAGCTGGATGCAGGCAATGGATGGATTCCTTCCTCTCTCCCTTCTCTTTCCCTTCTCCTTCCTTTCCTTCCCTTCCCTCTCCTTTCCTCTCCTTCCCTTTTCCCTTTTCCCAGCCCCGGAGCCTGAGCTCCTGCAGCAATTCCCCCTTGGAATGACTCCTGGGAGAGCTCCAGGCCGTGTCCCCGTGCTGGCTGCCGGAGTAGAGCCTGTTCCTTCCCTGTTTCCCGGGATTTTGCCGGGTGTGAAGGCGAATTCTTGGCTCTGAATGGAGCTGAGAGACACTTGGCTGCCGGGGATTTTTCCAGCTGGAGTTGGAGTTGGAGCCACGTGCTTGGATTTTGGGAGCCAAGAGGCTCCTGCTGGGGGTGAGGAATATCCTGGATGAGGAGGTTTGGGTGGGCAGGAGATGTTTGGGGGTTCACTGGGGCCGTTTTTGGGCTGTTCCTGCCTCTGGAAAGGGAAAGGAGAAAGGAAAGGGGAAAGGGAAGGTTTGGGAAGGGAAGGTTTGGGAAGATTTGGGAAGGGAAGGTTTGGGAAGGTTTGGGAAGGTTTGGGAAGGAAAGGAAAGGAAAGGAAAGGAAAGGAAAGGAAAGGAAAGGAAAAAGGAAAGGAAAAGACCCCCCTTGGATTCCCCCTCCTGTCAGGGAGCTGTAAAGAGCAATTTGGGATTATTTTGCCCCAAATGGCAGCAAAATTCCCCCCCCAGCCCCCCGGAGAGGTGTGGGAAAGGCTCTGGCTCCCAAAACTCCCTGGAATCGTTGCCAGGATTGCTCCTGTTTGTCCCCAAAGCTCCGGAGC